TTTCCGAAATCTCCTTACTTTTGCTCGTAACCAATTCGCGACGGCAGGGGTGGGTCGCAAGAAGTGTGGGAAATTTGTCGGAGGGCGAGACAGATAGGCTAAAAGAATAACACGAAAACTTACAACTAATGACTCATCTGTGGCCAGGCGGGGCGACCGCGACTCGGCCCTCGATAATCTCTACACGACTCTAATTCTCCAAATGCGACAGCCAAAGATCTCCCCTCGACTCAACTCTCGAAACGCGACAACTAAACATTTCCACTGCCCGGGAGGATGAAATGCGTCTCGCGATTCCGCGGCTCTACACGGCGGCCATTACGCAGGTCTATTTTCACGATGCGAGCTTGCTTACGTGTGATCCACTCGGCAACGTACCCGGGTCGACAGCTTTACACGCACAACGTTCGTCTCACTCTCGACGTCCTGGTCCTCGCGTGTTCTCACAACATTCTCTTTCCTGCAGCTCTCGGCAGTCCGGCTCTCCGGGTCGCGTTACCCGTCGGCAGCAGCCTCGTACTTCCCTTACATCTTCTAGGCTCGGCCACAGTAAGAGTGAGTCCCGGGAGTTCGCGGCGGATTCTCGCAAGCTGCTTAGCTTCCCCCCTTCTTCGGGGAGAGATAGTCACGCTGATTGGCTTTCGCGTGTCACGGTATCCGCGCGTGCTGTGCAGGCCCGCGCGGCCTTGAGTCCTGGCTCGTACAAGCGCGCAATAGATATCCCTGTCAAGGGTGGCGTCTCCGCTTACGGCCCCCGCACCTCCTGGCCTGGCGGGAGAGATCGGGATGGATTTTCCTCTCGTTCCTCGTCGGGGCCCTATGCTCCCGACGGACGTCCGTCCGGCCTCTCAAGGATGGCCGGGAATTCTGGCCTCCTTCGGTGCTCTGCAAGGGGTGCATGGTGAAAGTATGGTTCCTTTCGTGACAGCGGTTACGAGCAATGATACAAAATAATACAACCTGCTTGTCTGGGCTCCCGGATGTGCATTCTTCTCTCTCAGCTTCTTCGTTCTTCCTTCCAAGGGTGGCGGGTGAGACGGCACGCTGATACAATATTATTTTACAGCAGCTGCCGAGCGTAATCCGTGGCGCGTCCACGCTTTCTGATAAACTCGGTTATTACGCAAAAGAAATGCTAACACAAAAAGAGGAAAGTTTGTAGAGTAGCATAGATGACGCGGTTTTAACGCTCGTTCGCAGGTGCGCTCGCATGCGCGCTCACGTGCGCACTCGCCTGCGCCCTCCGAGCTGATAGGAAGCACGAGTCCTCCGCCGACAAGTCTGCACAGTGACGGACAAAATGTCACGTCACAAGTCCCAGTCGAGTAACTAACCCTTGAGTTATGAAATTCATTTGCGAGCCACTGTCGAGCAACGCTCAACAAGAGTGCATTTGCTTGTCAGAATCGTATATATTGACAATTGCAGTCGAAAGTAGAACGTTTAATGAACGATGACTCGAGGTGCATTGCGTAGTGACTGGGAGTGGAGGTTCGCTCGCCCGCGTCTGTGCTTGCACGCTCGAAGCTGATTGCTCAGAATTGTTGAACGCGGATATGTGTAACAAGGTATTATGCTTCTTATGACATTTTCGACAAGTACCGGAATTGCATACCTTAGCTTGATGCGTCGCCGAACGCAAGCAATTAATACATAAGTGAGCCTTTTTGATGGCTTTAATTCTATCTTTAATTGACATATTAAGAAAATCTTTACAATGGTATATGGAATGAGTTTCTTTGCATATAGAACAGGACAGATTGGATGTAGCAACGTTTGCAACTGCTGTGGTTTTCGCATTACTACTGTGTTTTTGAGTGACTGAACTTGCTGAATTATTGTTAGTTCTGCAATGTTCAGATTCTAAGGCCTGGCACCTGCGAATTAAGAAATTTATCAACTCCTTAAAGTCTGGTATGTCACCTTCCTTTATGCTCAACTCCCATGCCTTGCTCGTAGCTACATCCAACTTGCTAACAATGAGATGGATGACTAAATCATCCCAAGTGTCGGTGGGTCTTTTAAGAGCTTTGAGCGCCCGTAAGTGCTTGAGAATGGTGTCCACTAACTCACGGATCATGACGTGACTTTTCATCCTTATGGCCGCTGTCTCAAACAGCGCCTTAACATGTTTTTGAATGAGCCATCTCTCATGGTCGAAACGCTGTTTGACTGTCGCCCATGCCTCATTGTAATTGTCTGTTGTGGTTTCTATGGATTTTATTACATCGTCGTCACCGTCCTTTAATGATGACCGCAGATAATAGAACTTTTCAATGGCGGTTAATCCTTCGTTCAAATAAATTAGTTTTTCGAACGTGTCCTTATATGAATAATACCAATCCTCGTATGCACCTGGCAAATCTGTTTTCGACAATTTTACACGCGTTTCCCTCGAGCATGCCATTTGGTTATTCTGA